ACCGCCGTCCCGGCCCGAGGCGCCGTCGGGTCGGTGGCCCCGGCAGCAGCGCCCGCGGAGCTTCAGGAGGCCGCCGCTCGCCCTGCCGCCTGTGCTGGCCTCCAGAGCCCGCAGCCTGCCTCCGCTCGGGTTCGCTCTGCGGAGCGGCGGCTGCCGCCCCGGCGGGCGGCCGGCCCCTGCTAGCAGCCGAGAGCCCACCCAGCCGCTTCTCTGCCCCGGCCAGGAGGGGGAAAGGGGAGCGAAAGGAGTAAAAAAACCCCACGTGGGGCAGAGCCAAGTCAGGGAAATCGCTTGCCATTACCGTCAGGGACAAAACTGACTTGACTGGGGGAATTTAAGTTAACTTGTTGCCAGTTAACGCAAATATTTAATGAGTGATTTGGCCATTGAAAAATGAAACCCAAATAGTTGGCCGTGAGGAGCACACCCTTCCTCCTTTTGCAGGCTAAGCTTCACCTCAGACGCTTCTCCTACCCCATTCCTAGTTTCCACTCCAGAGCCCACTCCTGACCCCCTTGTCTCCAAAGGTTACGGTCAGTCCCTTCAGCGAGGCCAGGAGCCACACAGGAGGCTGAGGTCAGCGCACCGCCGTTTCTCCCTGCTGCTCCTTCTCATTCTTGCCCTGTGCTCCAGCATGGGTCCTCCACAGGCTGCCGTCCCCTCAGGAGCACAGCTGCTCCACCACAAAACACCCCCCTTCCCCTCCAACCTTGTTGTTCCCTCTTTGGCATAATCTGCCCTTTCTGAAATAGGCCTTCACAAGGGTGCTGCCAACTTGGCCGATGGGCTCGGCTGTGTGCTTCGTTAGTTGTGTCACACTGTGCACTTGAAGAAGAAAGGCCAGGTAGAGCAATGGGAGGGACTATGGCAGCAGTAGTTCTGATTTTTTTTTTCCAGATCATTAACCAAAAATTACATTTAGGATGTAGACCACCACACAGCTTGAGGGAAATACTATCATTTACCCCTTTTCCTCCCGTAGTCTTCTGTCAGGAGAGGTAGGTAGGTCTGCAGACTCTTTGGGCTATGTGCTATGCCTACAGCCCAGGGCTATTTACCAAACATGAGGGCTGCCCTTCGGATGTACTGTCCTGCTGTAGTTGTCACTGTTTATGGGTTACCTACCCTAAAATAACTCATCTATGCAGGTGTCAACTATTTAGCTCTTGGGGTGGTTTTTTTTGTTTTGTCTTTTGTCCTCCTTAAAGACCACAACAACAGAAGGGGCTAAATATGGTCACTTTGCGTATTTAAAAGTAAAAATTCTAGCATGCTTAAAGGGCTTATGAGTTCATTCAGCAACTCTGAAGAGCATTTAAAAAAAAGAAAGTCTGTCCCTAGGTGTTTCCACTGTTTGATTTTCGCATTGTTCTTAAAACATTTCTCTCCTTGTTCGGAAAAGGCAGGCGGATCCCTAAGACCTAGATTCTGCAGCGTGGTCTGGGAAGCCAGAATGTTTTACTCAGAGGAAATACATGTCATCTCACAGATACTGTGTTTGGCTGAAGTGCATCTGTGTGTATGGCATTATTAGCCTCTCAGTGTAGGGTTAATTATAGTGAAAGTTGCTCAGCACAGCGTAAGTATAGGAGAAATAACCTATTGCTAGCTTGCTAGTCTCAGAAGTAATTGTAGATCTAGTAAATAAAGGCAGAAATGTAATTTTGCCGGCTGTCTCTTAAACTCTCCAAAAAAAGGCATATCATGACGTAGGTCTGTTACAAGCAGGTTATGCTGTTTATATCTCTTATTTGAAGTTTTAAATGGCTTAACTAAAGTCACTGGGAAAGTAATAGATAGCACTAAAGGAATCTGCAAGATATTTGGGTGGTCTCAGCAGCAGATATTTTTCAGACATGAACCTTACTAATATTTGTCTTGGGTACTTGGGAATCTTTCATGGGTACCTGGGGCTCTTTAAGAGAAATCTGTTTTAACAAGAACTAGTCATCGTGCAGCAAAAAACTATGGGAAATTCGTAGTTTCTTTCGTATGACTACTTTAGAGGTCATTGGATGGAATCTGCTGCTGATGTTTTCTGGTAGGGTACTGTTACTCCCTATATATGCATGTCAATGCAAAAATAAAAAATATAGACCTCATAAACTATTATTTACATAAACCAGTGTGTTTCTGATGATCTATAACAACTTAAAAGTAGGTCCTCACCTTGAGAAATTTCTAGTGTACTATAAATAGCACATTATGTAGGTGGCTTTGAATAGCTTCTGAGCTTTAAGAGACCCCTGTAGGTACTTCAGGAACTTCAGAGCAGATGTTCTTTATCTGGAAAAAGGTTAGGAGTGTACTTTATATCTATATATGAATCACTGCCTTCGTTGTGTTTTCGTGATTCTGTTTTTTCTGGCCTGTTGAGGATTACTGGGGATGGGATGTCTTGTTTATGGAGAAATGTTGGTTAGAGAGCATCCATAAAAGGTTTATGTATGCAGCAAAATACTTAGGAGGAAAAAAAGGAATACCCCTTTTAAAGGCAGGGGAGAAAGAAGGTGAGATTCGGTGTATTTCACAACTATGGGATAAAAGAAACCTAAAATGAATATTCAGCTAAAAAGTGTAAGAGCCTACGCTTTATGCAGTGAAAATTGTCTTTCCCTTATCTTCTTTCCCTTGATTTGTTTTCTGGTTAAGATAGCAAAAAGAGGTGCAAAGTACCAGGCACAGAGTTGTTCTGTGACCTGTGGCAGATGATGTAATCTCTCTTTGCTGCAGCTGAATGTAAGGAGTATGAAGAAATCTTCTCATGGGGGCAAATCTGAACTTGAAACAGAAATGTCAAAAAATAATTTATATAAGTTAGTTGCACAAGCTGGCTTCCTAAGGATTACAAAGTTTCTCCATTCTTATTATCAGTTGCATTAAATTTTCCTAAAAAAAAAAAAGGTAGAGTTGAGATAACATTTTGCAGAATATATTTGGGTTTTGCTAATGAAATCCTGCAAAATTCAGATGAACGTATTTAGTAAGGAGGATGAGGAAGGAATTTGTTATTTGTTTTTCCTGCAAAAGAGCTAAAGAGCAGTGTTTGGAGCTAGTGTTGCTAAGGCTGGCTGTATGGCCTGAGGGGCTGGGTACTTCAGCCCTTCATAATGCAGGTTGCCTGGTCTGATGATTACTTGGGACAGTTGTATAATAAATGCCAGTGTTGCAAAGTAACTTGCTTTGCTGGTTTATTTATGTAGGCATTTTACTGATAACAGTAAAATCCACATAGAGCGCAGTTTCCCTGCCCAGCTGCCTGCCTGTCACTATGTAAGTTCCTTGCAGTGGCTGTTTGCACGTCAGCATGCTGAATTTATGACCTTCTTATTTGTGTTATTTTGTTTCATTTTTCCTGCATTAAATATAGCTCTGAAGAGCAGTCAGCTAGGCTTTGATAGGTTACACAGGACCTTCAGCAATGGCAATGTTTTTGCTTTTGTCCAAAGGTTTACACATTCCCATTCCTTACACTGGCAACAAGCACAAGTCCTAGGACTCCTGGAACACTGATACAAGATCAGAGGACTGCCATGTATTATTATTAGGTTAGCTCTTGAAATTGCATTCAATTTTACATCTTCTATTCAATTAAGAAAACTAAGGAACAAAAAAGTAAGACATAACTGGAAGTTGAAACGTGGTTGCACATGTGTTGAAAATAGTGTTCAACCACAGTTTTCAGTCATAGCTGAAACCGTAAGTTTCAACTTACCAATAGTTGAATAGTTTTCAACTATAACATGGTTGAAAAGCGTTCTAGAAGATCATAAACATGCAATATAAATAGAAGCATCCTCTAGCAACTTTAACATGTCTCTGATTTGATTTTTTTCATTTAACCTCCTGTCCCTCTAATTTCCCTCAATACAATATGTATGTTTCATCTTGTAATAAAAAGTATATTCAAAAGTAGGCATCAAATCATGAGAGAGGCTGGAAAAGTAATGAATGTTTTTACTTAATCTTTAGCTGTCTGGCCTTAGCACTTGCAGATGTCTTTATTTACCTTTTTGTCTTTTAAAATGAGTTGCTTGCAGAATATTTTTGCTTCTGTATGAGAGACTGTGCAAAAAACTCTGTCAGAAGTCTCAGGATTAGAATGATTTTCTGTGATGCGTGCTATATCACGGAGTCACTTATTTCTGTGGTCAGATATATACAATGTAAATGCGTTTGGCCTATTTTATCACAAACATTTTTATTAGTAGCTATGTGTGCATTGTTGGTGTCTATTAATATCCTGACGCTGGTCTGTTTCTGGAATGAATATTTAGCTAAACATGTAAGGATATCTAACTTTTGGCAGTCTGCATTTCTGTCGCTCATTCAAACAAATGGTTTGAAATGTCATTTGAGGTTCAGGCCATCATATTTCTTACAGTGTTTATGAAATATGGCAGTAATTTGGGAACCTGTATAATATTCTGCAGTGGTCAAAATGAGTTTTGAAAGGAACCATTTAAAGCTTTTGAAAGTTCTCAGCATGTGACATTTTGGCTACAAAGAGCATTCTCTTTTTCCAGAAGTTAGTCACTACAAAAATAGTTGAGAAGGCACAGCTCTTCTCAGTCATTGCCTGGAGCATTTTGTTTAATCTCTGCAATAACAGAAGGATAAAATCTCATGTGTATAGCTAAGTTTTCTCCACCAAAACCCTTTATCTTTTAAAGAAAAGGGGAAAGGAAAAATAAAGAAAAGGGAGGAAAAATTTTGAAAAGGTATTTTTAAGAAACTATTCACATTTCTTAGCCTTTTGCTTTGACAAGGTCGATATTAATGACTCCTTCCTGCCCCAACCTAGTTAGCATCTCTTAGGTGGTATTTCATAAGCTGGCATTTATTTTTCTTCTAACAAACATATAAAGATACTTATTCTTGACAAAGCAGTGGTTTTTTTAGATACTGTATGCCTGTGGACATTGTATGCCTTTCTGGTTTTTTCCTGAAGAAGTTAAACCATTCAGGTATACTTGTGCATGAGATGTAATTGCTGTTGGCTGCAGAGCCTATCAGTTTGTCTTAATAAAGCACAGGTTGTTGTACACACATTCCTTGTGAACTAACCAAGAGAGTAGAAAAGCTACACAAGAATTTCCTTGTGCTGTCTCCTCTCCTAATTCTTCCCTCAAATAGATAGTTCCTACAAGTAGTCTCTCTGAATGCTAAAGAAGTGGCATATCCTTTACACTATACAAATTAGGGGAAAGGTCCCATTTCCCTGAAAAGATTTCACCCAGATGGATAAATAATATTTTGAACAACTTTATAATATTCTGAACAACTTCATAGTTGTTTGTCACCATATCTAATTTGGTCATCATATTTAAATCTTTAATTAACAGACTCTGTTTTTTCAGAATTATCCTGTACTTGATTACTTTTAACATCAAAATATAATTCAGTTCACTGACAAGTCCTGTGGTGTCTGTCATGTTTCGTAATTGGAAATAAACTCATAATTTACACTGAAAATTATTTTATCTGTATGTTTGATAGGAAAAAAGCTTAAATAATTTCCTATGCTGGATTTAAGTACACTAATTCATCTTGTCACCTTGTCTATGTTAATACTGTACATTGTACATTCCAACTAAATTTGGCTTCACATGGAGCTAATAAATTGGCTTAATTGTATGTAGAAGCATTGTGCAGATAATCAGTATATATCTCATAAGATTCCACAGTGTGGTGTGTAAACTCGATGTCTGAAGCTACACTAAATAACTAAAACTACTCTCGGAAGCTTTTTTGTTGTGTAGTTTTGTCATTTTTTGTACCAGTTTTAATGACAAGTGTGCATGGTGGACAATGAGAAACATTGACATGGTTTTCTGTAATCTTTCGTAGATCCAGAGAGGGCTTGTTATCTACATATGCTTCTTCAAAGGTGCTGATGAGGATCTTGTTCCAAAAATTGGTATGATATTGTCCTTATAAATTCTTGTATTGTTTGAAAAAGAAGCAAAGCAGTAGAGGCAGAGAAGGCAGCAACCATTTCTACAAGAAGTCATCAAAAAGCCATCAGATAGCATCATTCCAAATCAATCACCTGGCTGAAAGAACAGTTTGGTCGGTCTTGTTTCTTTTGACAGTTGTCCATACTCTGTCTGTCTGTTCATGATCAGCCTGTTAGAAAATCAATTCCCATGATTATAACATTCTAGCAAACAGAGAAAGTGCTGCACTGGCCGTTTGACATATTACATGTATCAGGCAACATGTTCAGTCCAGGACAGAAATGAATTTAGAGAAAACTGTTTTCAAATAATTCATGGCTTGATTTGAGAAGTACTTTAACGCTGATCTCACTGTATGTGCAGGATATTTAAAATTATAGCCAGTAGAGGGAGTTGGGTGGATAACTAAACAGCATCCTTCCCATCTCATTTCAGTGATACTACGTACACTGTTAGCATTTCAAGTGCAGTTTTCTGGTTCAGAAGTAATAACAGCAATATCTGCAGTTCTTTCCCTCTTGTCCACACACACTTTAACATTTCCATCAAAGACAAGAAGATTTTGTGGATAAGGTCAAATGGTAGTGATTTCTGTCTTCACCCACTGTTGTTTTGGCTTGAGGGTTTTCGTTTTGGGGTTTTTTTGTTTTCTTTCTTACTTTTATTTAATTTCTTCTCCCTCCTTTTCTCCATGAGCAGCACTGGATCACCTGAGAAATTCCGTGTTGCCACATATTCCAGATAAAAGTGCCCCTTTTCTTTTCTGTGGCTGGCTGATATTAGTTGTTTTGCAAAAGGTCATGTAACAATAGTCTATTTCAGGCTGCTTGGTGGGACCCGCAGAAAGACCTGGCAGTGCACAAGCACAGGTGCTATCAAAACTGCTGAGAGCAGCTCCTGGGGGGGTTCTCTCTTGGTCTTGGAGGGCACAGTCATTCTCTGATGCTAAACTAAGTTGAAATCTTTGGGTGTATTTAAAGCTATGATAGGAAAATTGATTTTGTGCTTGTGAGAGTTTCATGAGAGTGTTACTTGAGAATAATGACCTTTTCAGCTGTGTGGCAGCTGAAACAGGCCAGAAAAAGTAAGTTCTGTTTTCTACTAGGAGACTCATCTATGACCATCCTCCTTAAGGATATTAAAAAATATATTTTGAAACTGTTTAAATGAGTGGTTTTGGTTCCTGAATCACAACTCAGCTCTTTTTGCTTTGAGCAACATTAAACTTTTATAGGCTTGGAGGCATGACTAGTACCCTCACAGCTTTTACAGAGTTGGAGGAAGTTTTGGGGGAATTATTTGAGTTGTTATGGAAACATTCGAAAATTTGTTAGTAAATGCATTGATTTTATTTGCAAGTTTATATATTCTGGCTTATGGGCCAAATTGCATCTCTGACCTTCCTGCCCATTTCCTCTCTCAGAAGACAAGCTGGCACCTGCACGTCTCGAAGTGGAGTGCTGAAGGGCACTCACTCCACTTCAGACCAAACTGCTGAGCTGTGGCTTCAGCCCAGATCAGTGCTGGGTCCTGCTGCGAACTGCAAACAGAATGAAAAGACAGTCAGGGCAGAAACTTCTCCAACGTGCACTGAAGATGGTGTTTTTCTCCTACAATGTGTAGTGTTGTGCAAATGTTGCCTATTTGAGTATCAGGCAATTAAGTTAGGGTCACTAATTGGATCCTGGATTCCTTTGGGGGTGTCCAACTAGAGTCAACTTCAGGATTTCAGACAGCCAACCGCTCCCCCCCCAAAATAACTCTTTAGACAAATTATATTAATATAAATATCCTTCACATTCTTCACAATACTCAGACATCTTAGTTGGTTGATAGTATTTATTGACTGTCCATGTTTCATTTCATTAATAAGCAGTTTCTTGTACTTGAATAGTTTGTCACGCATCGCAATATTTGTTGAATCTTGTTTATGGTGTTACATTAGGTCCTGTTTAATTTGCTTTAGTTACACTAACTCTTATTTTATTTTTATTTGCAGTCAATATGCTGTTGAATGTTAAATTAAGTGAGAATGAAAGCAGCAAGTACGTTTCTGTTCTTGATTTACCAGGCGATGTGCTAATCATACCACAAGCTACCCTAGGTGGTAAACTGAAGGGAAGAAAGATGCAGTACCATGCAAACATTGAAAAAGAAAAAGGGCTTGAACTTTATTCTCAGTTTGTGACTTTGTGTGAAAAAGAACTGGCTGCCAATGCCAAATGCATGGAAGCAGGTGTTCTCGTCAAGCATGGCACATACGGAAACAGGCAGGTGTTAAAACTGGATACAAATGGACCTTACACTCATCTGATTGAATTTTGAAAAAATAAATATCCTGGATACAGTACTGGCTCGCAACTGTTGTCTTTTTTTTTTTATTCCCCTTCATTTCTAAGCATTAATGTACTTAAATGGTTTGGGAAATACAGTGTAAGAAAGACTTTCACTCATCTGCATTGGTGTTGCCAATCCCATTAAATAGAAGGATGCCTGAGACTGCTTTGTGATAACGAGTATGTGTTTTATGTGCATATTCATCTGAAGTGTGCTCAAAATAATTGTTAATATTGATCCAATGAAGGTGGATAATTTGGAAGGCTTTATTAACAAAAATGTCGTAATGCATATGTTTGTTACTACAAAATAATAACAGAAGTATTACGTTTATTAGCCATTGTAAAGTACACTTGAGGAAGTGAAGTTTATAGATTAAAAAAAAAAGAATGCTGTAGATTTACTTATTTGTCCCTAGATTTTCCAAGTCAGACAATTTTTGTCTTTCTGTTTTCTATATATAAAACAGCAATGCATTCTAGCTAACAAATATATTGAAAGCACAAATTCACTGAATTTTCAGCGTCTTAAAGAGTAGGCACTAAATAAGAAAGTCTGTCCCTCTCATCCACAGTGTGTAGGGCTGGGACACTTAAGGTAGTACTAGGACTGAACACAGGCTACACAGGGAAGAAAAAGTGAGGCAGGCTCATCTAGAAACTGAAATCAAGGCAGTACCATTAAATTGCTTTCTTGAAGTTTGCACTCGGAAATCTCCTCTGATGTGTTTTGATAGGCTGCTTGCTATAGCTTGGTCTATGTCCTTGTTACCTTGGTCTTGTTGTCTACTCAATTCTTTCATAACAGAGCCTCAGGAAAAGGACTGAAATATTCAAGTGAAAACAAAAATAAAAATGGTACGATGTATGCTGCCATCTCATTGTTGCCTCTGCCCCTATTGCTTCCTTCCAGCTTTTTGTCTATTGAATCCGCCAGGCAAAGACTAGCTTATATTTCTTTTATATACAGTGTCGGCACATTTGGGGCCCCATTCCCAGCTGACCCCCTATGCAGTACTGTCATAAACATTATTAACAGCTGGTGTTAAGAAGATATAATGGGAAATTCTGTCTTGTAAGGCAGCAAGAACAGAACAGCTACATTAAAATGGGGCAAATTCAAAACTGATACAAGTGCATTCATCCTGTGAGTCAAGTTTCTCTTTTACTGCAGCATCATGAAGTCAGTAATTTAGAAGGGTTCAAAGTGTAATTAGACAATTATATGGTTTGCAGTAATTATCCAGAGTTCCCATTTAAATAATAAATTCTTCTGGAAAAGATGCAAAACCTCGTGGTTAGCAAGCATGCCAGCTTGTGCAATCTTAAATTGTAGGTCAGTAGTAACAAATATTCTGTCCTTGTCTTTACTTTTTAAAAAACATAACTGCATGTGTAATCTGCAGGCTCAAACTATGCCATAAGAATCACATTTTTTGAACGGATACAAAGCTCACAGTTTTGATGGGTGTAATGAGATTTTTCAGATTAACATAATATTTGGTTAATAATTATGAAATACTTAAGGATGTTGAAATCCTGGCAACTGGCACTGTCACAGCTGAAAACAACTATTCACACAAATGGCCTGGAAATATTAGCTAGGTCCCAAATGACATATTTATTCATTAATAATTAACAGTTATGATAGACACAGTATGAGTCATGTTCTGAGTTCTTACTAGCGACATTTAAATAAGGTTGTCCTGATGTGAATAACTAATACAAATTAATTATGATCTGTGTGCTTGAAAAAACTTTTTTTATTGCTCTTTCCATTGGAGGCCAAATCCTAAAAAGTGCTGAGTAATACCACTTTTCACTGACCTTACAGGAATTGCGGGTATTCAGTATATCTCAAGAATTGATCTTTGAGGTATAATGCACAGTCTGCAGTTTTCACTTTTATTTTTTTGCCTGGCTCCAGAAAGATCTTTGGCAGCCTGGCAATTCATTCTCTGTATTTCAAGAACTCTGCAAGTTCTGAGAGGGATGAGCTTGAAAATGTTTAGTGAAAAACAGACTTCAGACCAAACTCCATCTCGTACTGATCTCTCATAGAAAACACATACAAACTTATGTATATTTCAGTGGTTCTTGGGACATGACAGAACTCTGGAGTTTCTGTAAAAAGGTGGCATCTTTTTGTATTATCTGCCCGTTTCTGATTTATTTGTGTATCCATCTCGGAATACTGATTTCTGCCGTCTTCTGCTCTAACGATTGGCAGCTTGTTGAATGCTGTGCCCTTTGTACTGCTTTATTTATATCTACTATTGATTCACAATCCATTTACAGAAAGAAGCCATTTCTGAATAACATGATGGACCATACTGATGAAAAAATTGATTAAAATTATTTTTTCAAAGCCATAGGCTCATTCCTTTCTGCCATGAGTATATGTTTTAAACAAATGACCTGACACTGCTTTAAATAGTTTCTGTTCTGTGACTAGACAAAAGCTCAAATAATTATCCAGTTCTATACTTAGAGAATATCTATTGGAAGATATATTCCCCACTTCCTTGAAATAAACTATAAAATCAGGAGGCATCATTTTGCTATTCTAGTGTGGCCTCCAATTCAGCTGTCACACGGTAATTGTTATATTGGGATTTTGCAACCTTGTTCGCAGTGTACACACCCAATGTGTCTAAGCTGAGCGTGCGTGGACTATGAACTGTGCTCATAAAATTAATGAGTTCAGGTGCAATAGCTTGTTTTCTAGTCAGCAGTATTCCTGCTTCCTTCCCGTGCCCTTTGTGGAAATAGTTACCTCTGCTGCTACATGCAGTATGCAACATGCAAATATTAATCCAGAACTGGAAGGTAATAAACAACATGTAGCCCAGTAATACTAGTAACAATGCTGCAACTGTATTGCTGTTGCTAGTAAGAGACCACAGACTTTGTTCTGAGTTTACAAGACCTCAGGATGGAGGCTTATCACATGTGCTTTGTCTGAACTTTCCTTGATCTTCCTGGAGCTTTGGTTTTACTTGATTTAGCTGTAATGACATTTTTTTCTAATGACAGGAGACTATGGCTAATTTGTTTTACTTTTGCTCTGTATGGTGTCACCACAGTTTTTATATAGATATTAATAATAAGCAGCTATTCTGTGTAGAATGATATATTTATGACTCTAACATAATGTTGGAGTGTACAGAAATAAAGGCCTGTTAGAACAGTAGCAACCTGGAGAAGTGGAGACACCAGCTGCAGTGTAGAGAGTAGAGGCATGGGACAGTAAGAGATGGGGCACAGGCTGACACTGGAGTCCCAAGGCTATAAACAACTTGCCAATGGTCAGTTAAAGAATGCAGACCCGGAGCTGGACAAAACTAGACTTAGGGGTAAAAAAAAAGAAGAAAGAACAAGCATCTAAGATAAATAAAATACAAAATACCTAGTTGCAGTCTAGTGAGGAAGAAGCAAGGTGTAAAACTTTATTAGAAAACATGTAAAAATAGCCCCAGGTGAGAGCTATTTCCAAAAGAGGAAAAAGGAGAGAAAGAAGAAGAAACCATAAACACTAACATCATACTCCTGCAGGCACAGGACTCTGGATGCTGATGATCCACTGTGCTCCCTCCACCAGATGGAAGCCACAGGGAGGTGAAAGGGTAAGCATGACACCAGGAGAAGGGGTAGGTACCAGACAGTGCATGCCTAACAATTTTAACTATAGTGTTATTATTAGAGACTTTCTATACAATTTCTTTATTTTTATTTCCTTTCTTTTTCTGCAATAATTAGATCTGGACTAAAAATAATTCTTCAGTTAGACTGCTAAGGTTGCAATTATACTAATAATAAATTTTGTATGACTTTACACATAGGGTGGGTTTCTTTTTGACCGTAACGAGATTTTGCGCATAACAGCTCCTGCAGACAGTTGCTTCCCCGTGTTGAAATGACACCCACTTGATGGGCTGCTGGAAATCAGCCAGCCTTTGTGGTGTTTTTCACCATGTCCTTTAATGCAGCTGTGATGTCTGGTCTCGTTTACCACAAAAGCTGCACCAAAGTTTCTTTCTTCATTGTGACTCAATGCAACCACTGGTCTTTAGCCCCTCCTTCAGAACAAAGTCAGTTCCATCAGTCTGAGGCATGTACTTGGATTTAAAAGTATGACCTGGTGAACCTCAGTCTCACCTCTAGTATAAAACCAGCTTCTTTGGATAAGGAGATATGAATCTTTTAAACTTCTAGTATTTTCTGCTTTTAGTCTTGAATAGGGTCTCCTTCAAATGCATTCTGTTTCTCTTTTGAAGCTGGAGTGGCAGTATGCCACAGAGGACTAGAGTGGTCCCCAGAAATCCACAGGAATTACCTGAGGACTGCCACCTGTATTGGGTTTACGTGGCAAGGTTTTGGTAGTGGGGGGTTTACAGGGGGGGCTTCTGTGAGAAGCTGCTGGAAGCTTCCCCTGTGTCCGACAGAGCCAATACCAGCCAGCTCTAAGAGGGACCTGCCGCCAGCCAAGGCCAAGCCCATCAGCAATAGTGGTAGCACCTCTGTGATAACATATTTAAGAAGGAAAAAAAGTTGCGGGACATACAGAAATGGCAGCTGGAGAGAGGAGTGAGACCATGTGAGAGAAACAACCCTGCAGACCCCCAGGTCAGTGCAGAAGGAGGGGGAGGAGATGCTCCAGGCGCCGGAGCAGAGATTCCCCTGCAGCCTGTGGGGAAGACCATGGTGAGGCAGGCTGTCCCCCTGCAGCCCAGGGAGGTCCATGGTGGAGCAGATATCCACCTCCAGCCTGTGGAGAGAGGACCCCACGCCGAAGCAGGTGGGTTCCTGAAGGAGGCTGTGACCTCGTGGGAAGCCCGCACTGGAGCAGGCTTCTGACAGGACCGGTGGATCTGTGGAGAGAGGAGCCCACAGAGCAGGTTTTCTGGCAGGACTTGTGACCCCGTGGGGGACCCACGCTGGAGCAGTCTGTGCCTGAAGGACTGCACGCCGTGGAAGCGATCCATGCTG